TATGAAGGCTAAACCTAAAAACAAACAGAGCCAAAGATCATGGAAAATCCATCATTAAGATTATGTCTCGGGGCCAGCCGAGTGGCTCAGTTGGTGAAGAGCTCATTCAAGTGTCCGAGCTCTGAGCAACAGCGCTTCGATGCCCAGCCAGAGCTGAGCTGCCAACAGGTAGCAGGATAGCTCAGCAAAAAAAAAAAAAAAAGATTATGTCTCTGCTACTCTTCAAGATTTAAAAGAAAATCTAATATAGTAGGCAGTTTATTTTAGACTGATATGGCTTTATAAAGGGCTCATTACTATTCTGAGTTTCAATGACTTCTAAAAAGAAATAACTTCTGGTTTTACTCACTGAAACAAAATCCATTCCTGTATTACATATTTATTCACCTCTACTTCTCAAAATTTTCCCCAGCTTTTTAATAAAGTGCATGTTGACTATTAAACATGTTTTACACAATATTATGTGTATCATTTAACACCAAAAAATATCAACTACCACCAGTTATCAAAGCTGATTACAAAGCTAGGAAAAGGGACAAAGAGGAAAACGAATAGTACTCAAAATATACCTAGGCATATATGGGAAAGTGGAATATGACTATCTTTTATGAGTCCAGAGGTAGAGAAGGATTTTTTAAATAAAAGATTAAAAGTGTAAATCATAAAGAGGTTGATAATTCTGACATTAGGAATTCTGCCCAACAAAAGACATCCCAAAGAGAGTTGAAACAATAAACTATCTAAAGTAGGAAGAGCTCACAATTCATGAAACCCAAGGATTTCTTTTCAGTATAAATAACTATGATAAATCATTAAGATAAACCAACAGAAAAATGGACAAACACAATTACGGGCTTATAAAGAAGAAATATAACTGGCTGCTAAATACCCAAAAAGATGCATAACAATGGCATACAACGTACAACCAGATTAACAAAAATTTTTAAATCTGACAATACCAAACACTGGAGACTATATGGATCAATGAAGAGTTTTATGCACATTTATTGGAAATATTAACTGGTAAACTGTTTTGCAGAACACTTGTGTCTTACCAAATAAAGCTGAACGTGCACATTTGCCAACTAGTGCACCCCTAGGTTATACACTCTACAAAAACTCTTCAACCTGTGCACCAGAAACCATGTATGAGTTCATAGAAACAACACTATTTTTTAAGAGCAAACGACTGCAAACAACTAGAAGGTCCATTAATACTAGAAATAATAAACTGTGCTACATTCATACTATAGAATGCTATAAAACAGTAAATAAATAGAACATGGATGAATGTTACAATTAGAAATAATGCTGAAAGCACAGAAAAATGTAGTATGACACATATAGCATACAAAATGATAGGCAAAACTCAACATTATTTAGAGATACACACATGTAGTTAATTGTTTAAACAAAAAGGCAAAAGAGGGCCGGCTGAGGGGCTCAGTTGGTTAAGAGCTCGCTCAAGAGTTTGAGCTCTGAGCAACAGCAGTTCCAATGCAGCCTGAGCTGAGCTGCCGCTGAGCTGCCAACAGGTGGCAGGATGGCTCAGCTTGGAAAAAAAAAAAAAGGCAAAAGAATAACTCAAATTCAGGACTTTTATCTCTGAGCAAAAGTGATATAATTGGGGTGGGACATAAGATAGGCTCCAAAAGTACTGAAGATACTCTATTTTTTTAAGTTGGGTCATGGCTCCTTGTTTTTTTTTAATCATATATATATATATATATATATATATATATANTCTTATACGCCGGCAAATACGGTACCTTTATCATCAGAGAAAACTGGAAATAACCTAAATGTCCATCAATAGAGGAGTAAATTAACTGATACCACCACACTCTTGTATGATATGCTGTTAAGATTGTGATAGATTTATACGCACTAATATATAATAACTCAGACATAAGTAGTTAAAAAAATATTATGCATAGTGTGCTATATTTTTAAAAAGCATTCCTGCATTTAATACACACATATGTAAATGCAGAGAAAGAGGTTTGAAAGTGTATATCCCAAACTGTTTTATTTGTTAACTCTAAGAAAATCAATGAGATTGGGTAATTAGGAGATATAACAGGAAATTCCATGTTTTTATTCTATATACATCTGTATTAAAATTTTGAGAAGAATGCGTTTGGTTTATTTGTAATTTTAAAGTGAAATAAGTAGGAATTAGAATTCAAATTTAAGAAAAAAGTACACTTTGAAAACAAAATTTTAAAAACAAAAGGCCAAATAAGTTTTAATACTAAAACTGGCCACAAAGGGCCACCCAGTCAGATAGAGCACTATGGCCCATGCACCAGATCCAGCCTACTGCTTATTTCCGAATAGCTTGCAAGCTAGGATTTTTACATTTTTAAATAGTTTAAAATATTCTATGTGAAAATATATACATGTCTGAATATATACACGTGACAAGTACATGAAATTCAAATTTTAGCATCCATAAAAATTGATAAAAGTTTTATGGAAAAACAGTCACCCTCATTCATTACAGTATCTTGAGCTGCTTTTGCATGACCACAGCGAAGTTGAGTCACTGTGACAGGGACAGTATAGCCCATGAACTCTAAAATATTTACTATGTGGCACTTAGAAAAAGTTTGCCAAACCAATTCCAGAGTAACACCAACTTTACGGGGAAATGTGCATAATCACATCTTATGTTTTCAAGAAATGTCCCTAAACGTACTTACTGACTGCTCTCTCAGTGTACTGACCAGCACAGGGCATTCTTCAGAAAGACTCCATGTGCATACCTATTTATCCCTGCCTGCCCAATAAAAAATGATTTTTAACTTATTCCCAATCAAGCATGTCTCTGAGGGAGGGGCTGAGATTGACACAGACAGCAATACAAGTACATTCCAAACAAACCCAAAGGAAAAAATTTTACCTCAGTAAATACTCTGCATATACTACAGGTTCTGGCAAAATCTGCTCTAAAAATTCTTCTCCTTCATCTCCTTTTGACTTCAAATATTCACAAAGGACACGCCAATACAAAGCAATTTCAGGAGTTAATGTTTCCACCGGACTCAATTTCCTTCATTAAAAAGGGAGAGAATAAGAGAAAGCATGATCTTCCTATCCATTTAACAATTTGAACTGAATAGAAAAATGGGAATAAAAAGCTAACTGGGTTTGTAACCACCATCCTTTTAATAGCAAAGTCATTAAGTTATCCACACAAAAAAGAATGAAAATATTTAGACCAAAAGGAAAAAAAAAAAAAATCAAATGAGCAAACATACTATCGGGTCACATGTTGGACTTTCCATGGTAGGCTAATGCAAAAATCAAAGCAACGAAATAAAGGGGGGGGGGGGGGGAAGGCAGCTAATGCAGTCTATGATAAAGTAGTGAGTTTTTGCACAAGGGGGGAGAAGAAAGACGTCCACCAGAGTAAAGAAAACCAAAACAAAAGAGGGGTAGATAAAAGGCATGGCTACAATCTGAAGTGATGGAGAGAGGGAATGGATTTTAGTTACAGAAGTTCATCAGTATCACATTTCAAACAACGAATACTTTATATACCTGCCATCACTATTTTTACAGACTTCTGCCAGTTCATTAAGAGGTGTCACTGAAAATAAGGCATTGAGAACAGAGACTGCCACTTCAGAAGAATTTTCCACATCCAACCGATGAAGCAACTCTAATATATTTCCTTCGGTGAACTGTAACCAGCCTTGGAGAAGATGCTTCTTCACAGCTTGTTTCACAGCATCTGTTAAGTCATTGGAAACATAAGTGAACAGAGGCTCCCTCTAGCTTCCATTTCCTGCATTTTGTCTGTTTTAATTAACTTATCAGATCAGCGTTAACATCAAGTCAATACAATAAAAATGGAAAGACACTAAGAGGCAGAACAAAGCACACCAACAAAAAAAAGTACGATATTGCAAAAATCTCTATGATGCTCATTTCCAAATAAAAAAGGAAAAGGTCAGAACCAAATATACAACCACTACCACAACCTAAAAAAATATCTTTGCATTTCTTCTCCCCTGGGTTCACTGGGCTGCAGGTCTTAGTCTAGACTATACAATACGTATTATTTCACTTGTTGACTGATTTCATCTATTACACATGACTGCTATATGCAATAGTGAATCATACAAGCATGTATCACTAAACAAACCTTATTCTTAGTTTTTAAACTCATCCTAGTCATTTGTCCTCTGACAATTGTTTTCAAACTCAGGTTTTTCTTGCTACAGCAAAATTAAACCATCCTAGCCTTCCTTCTCACAGGGATTGGAAATTTACAAGATATCATTCCTCATCATTCCTGTAAGCAGATTCCCTAGTTTAACAGGGAGGAAAAAAACAACTAAAAAATTACACTAGTATGACCATTCCTAATTACTGTGTAATCAGGACATACACAAAAGGGATAGACAGCATTTTAATAAAGAAGAGAGCTGAAAAAGAGATCCTGCTCTACTTCTGATATAAATTAGCACTGTCGCCTTAAACTAGTTTTTCCATCTGTAAAACACAGGAAAACTGAAACAAACTCTGCTCTTTCTAAGGACCAAGATCTTTAACCCTAGGAAATGTTTTCTAATCAATACACCAAGATAAATTTCCAACAGGCTGTGGAAATAATAGCTTTACTTGACTTAATTTAAGACTCTTGTTTCATAAATCTTCTAAATATGAACTCAAAATCTACTAAAGTTTTATATATAAAGGTGTCTATCTTACCTGATCTGTCATTAAGACCTTGTTGAAGGAGCATTACTCTCTGAGCAATGGACATAGCTCTCATATGAACTTTTTCAGCTAAAACCTTAAAGTGAAAATAATAATAAAAAGATGGTCATTAAACTCAACATAGTTTACATATTTCAAAACTAGTAATATCTCCTTCATCAAAGAAAATTACCCAGACTCTCCAAAAAGAAATTAATACCTGGTAACACATTTAATGCAATAAGATTCCACCTAAATTACCTATGCTCGCCATAGGTAAAAATCTCAATTGAATAAATCATTATTTACCAAATATTTTTCAAAAGTATTTTAAGAATTTCTATCTTTTAAAAATACGCCTACACAAGCTATTATTTACCTGATAAGCCAGCTTTCTGACAGCCTCTTTCACATCCTTGGTGCGCCCAACAATTTTTGGCAAAGTCTTCGCTGATGGTGCAATACATGATAACACTGCCCGTCTAACTTCTGGATTTGAATCATTTTCAATCAAAGTAGCATATGCTATAAATAAAGCAATATATTTTAGTACCCTAAAGAAATATTATTTCTTTAACCATAGTCATAAGATAGCCCACAGTTTTACATTTAAAATGATAAAGATATAGTTTTTTAGTCTTACACATTTAATTTTAGCTGAACATTTTTTTTTCTGCCAACTTCCCTTAAAAAAGACAGAATAAGGGGCCGGCTGTGTGGCTCAGTTCGTTAAGAACTCGCTCAAGAGTGTGAGCTCTGAGCAACAGCGGTTCGAGTCCTGGCCTGAGCTGAGCTGCTGCTGAGCTGCCAACAGATGGCAGAATGGCTCAGCTAAAGAAAAAAAAAAAGAAAGGCAAATAAGTCAATGGTCTACTGGGTATGAAGGCTAAACCTAAAAACAAACAGAGCCAAAGATCATGGAAAATCCATCATTAAGATTATGTCTCGGGGCCAGCCGAGTGGCTCAGTTGGTTAAGAGCTCGCTCAAGAGTTTGAGCTCTGAGCAACAGCGGTTTGAGTCCAGCCCGAGCTGAGCAGCCCAACAGGTAGCAGGATAGCTCAGCAAAAAAAAAAAAAAAAGATTATGTCTCTGCTACTCTTCAAGATTTAAAAGAAAATCTAATATAGTAGGCA